TTTGACGCTTAAGATTAGCGGATGCGTCCCTAACAATTCTAACTTCAACAAACAAATCGGATCTGGATGCGTTCAATTTTGACGATCTTAATCGACATTTTTCTTTTTCAAAGGAGATTCTAAGCCTCTGTGATAAATGTGAAAGAGGTGAATTTAATAGTCAAAGTATGAACCTCCGTTGCACAATTAACATCTCTTCTTTAAGACGATGGGTGTTCATAAAGTGCTTATTAAAATATATTTTAAATATTATGAGTGTGTTTGGATACCCAATTATCTCAAATAATATTTCGCTTGCATCATAGATACATTTTCCAACACACCTTTTTATATTTTCAACCACCTTTTTATCTCACATACATCACATCACAAAAAGTGCTACAGTAATTATTCCAAATAATATTTCAAATAATACACTATCCAAACAAACTCATATTTTTTGAAAATAAAAAAAAAGTAATTAAATACAATGAAGGATGAACAAAATTAAATAGAATTGCAACAAGTTGTAATTGAAAGGGAGTGCGTAGAAAATCATGCGAAGGCCTCATGGACCACTTCAAATAATTATTGATGCTGCAACTTGATTGCTATGTTTACTAGATTAGAAACCCGTTTACAAGCTATGGCGTAGCATTTCCGGAAGTTTTCCCTTTTGTTTTCTATATTTCCCTTTTGACAAGTTTCAAGGCTGGAGAAGATCCATTCATCACGAGTTTTTCATTACTCCAAAATTTGTTTTCTATTTTTACCTATGTTTTTTTCTCTGGTTTCGATTCTCGATTTGGATTTTTTCCCGTGTCAATTATGGGTTCGGTCCAGTGTAGTTTTGGATTCAAAATGGGACCATAGCTCTACATGCTCCATCCATCCTATAAAAATAGAGTTCATTATTCTGGGGAAGAGCACGTGACTAACTTGAGACAGTTATATAAAGCATGTAATACTAATATATTGTGAAATTTCTCGACCAATCATTTGTTTTGAGGCTAAAACTGATGATATTTTTCTTCGAAGTGTGAAAGTGAAATGGATCCTGGCTCGTATCGATATACAACCTCAATAATTAGTTTTATATCCACCACTTGAAACCTGTTTGAATTGAATGGAAAGTTTAGAAGCCTGGGTGGATGTGTGTGCGTGAATGTATGTATATAAAATGATTAGTTGAAATTTGTCGTGGATCCCAAAATCTTTTGCAATAAGTCTAACAATATTTGGATAGAGTATTATTTGACATGTTATTTAGAATAAATACTGTAACATTTTTTATGATACGATATATGTGAAATAAAATATGAATAAAAAAAATATGTGTATAATTCAAGCAAAATATTATTTAGAAAAGATTAGCTATCCAAACACGAAGATAGGTCAAATTCGACGAATTATTATACTAGCACTTTTTTTTTTTTGAAAATTATATAGTTTCTATTCGCATTATCTTCTTATTTGAAATTTTTTTGCAGGTGTAGCACACCCAAATAGAGAAGAAGATTCCACGTAGTCTCGAAACAAGAAATGTATGTGCAGAAAAAAAAATTTTAACGCACATTCACAGAATTGGAAGAAAGGGCACCTTAACGGGCCTTGTACATGCCACCCGTCACACTATGGGAGCTGGCCATTAGGGGTGGGGGAAAAAACCCGCCGATCCAAAAACCCGATGAAACCGATCCGATCCGATCCGAAAATAAGATACCCGATCCGATTTTTCTTAGCGGGGCAGATGAGGGTCGGGTACCCGAAAAATCGGGTACGGATACGGATCAGAAAAATAAAAACCCGCGGGTACCCGACCCGCAGGGTATATTTTATAAATATTTAAAAAGTAGGGATCATTTTATAATTTTGTAATTTTTAATTCTAAGCGCAAGTGAAGTGGCTCGCAACCTCATATTCTAATCCTATATGATCTACTCTTCTCATTTTTTTTTTGAAGAAAGCGAATATTCTCAGTGAAACATGAACAAAATGAAAAAAAAAAATTTGTGAAACTCTGTTATAAAAATTGTTCATCCCTTTCAAGTGAAACTCTGTTATAAAAATTGTTCATCCTTTTCATCTTTTTTATTTTTATTCTACCTCCATCGATCTTTCCTGCAAATCTTGCATCAATTCAATCAAAGATTTTTGTTTGGAGTTTCAATTTTCTGTTAGCTAGATATTTAAAATATTTGTGTCATTCATTTGCAATTATATCTCTTTAATTTGTCTCTTTTATTTAGTGTAAGAAATTTATTTTTCTTTTTCATCACCTTAATACCATAAGGTCTATTCCAAAGATGTAAAGAAGTTGGGGAAGATTTTTAACATTATTTTTGGTTATATTTTTTTCAAAAATAATTAGTTCTATTCAATTCTTTTCCGAACTTGATTTCACAATTGACTTATTTGAGATGCGGTCTTGTACCATATTATTCTTGGGGAAGTTACCAAATACTTATTATCCTTGTGTTTGTTCTGTTGTAGAAGTATGAAATGTGTGAAAATGGTGATGTACTCAAAATTATTATGAAACTTCGTTTTGTCTATTAGATATTCTAATATGTACTAAATTTATGAGATCGATTTGATTATTGGATGAAATGTGTGAGAATGGTGATGTATGGACTTTAATTACAATATCTCTACCAATATTAATTGGAAAAGCATGTTTTTTTTATTGAAAAACATGTTGATATTAAGCAGAAAATAATTTTTTTTATTGAAAAATAGTTTTTTTTAGGGGTGGGTACCCTATAACCCGCCCTTTTTTTTCGGGTACCCGAAAATATTAGGAGCGGGTTAGGGTCGCAAAATGGCTGATCCGATATATTAGGATCGGGTCAGTCAAATCATGTTAGGGGCGGGTACCCGACCCGTGCCCACCCCTACTGGCCATACCCGAAGTCGTTACCTTAACCGCAAGGAGGGGGATGTCGAAGGCAGGGCTAGTGACTGAAGTGAAGTCGTAACAAGGTAGCCGTACTAGAAGCTGCGGTTGGATCACCTCCTTTTCATGAAGAACTAATGCTTGTTGGGTATTTTGGTTTGACACCGCTTTACACCCAAAAAGAAGGGAGCTACGTCTGAGTTAAACTTGGAGATGGAAGTCTTATTTCCTTTCTCGGCGGTGAAGTAAGACCAAACCCATGAGTTTATTATCCTAGGTCGGAACAAGTTGATAGAATCCCCTTTTTTACATCCCCACGTCCTCCCGTGTGGCGACATGGGGGCGAAAAAAGGAAAGAGAGGGAAAAAGGAAAGTATTTTTAGTTTTCACTTTAATAATGTACATTTCATTTCCTGGAAGAAGTTTGAAATAGAATTACCCGAATAGTTATTAGATAAATGTACATGATGATTTTCTAAAGTTAAAAAGAGGCATTAATGAAGTCACACTTGACTTCGTTAATGTCAAAACACCCCACTCGCCTCTTAGCGCGCGAATTTTAAATGCTAAGCAACAGAAGGGAAAAAATGGAGGGAACTCCAAATGCGGGAAAGCGGCAAATTGCCAAACGCGCAGAGCCCTCACTTCTTTTTCTTAACCTGTTTCCGTCTCACAAACAAATAGATAAACGAACAGAGGGATCGAGAATTGCCGAACCAAATTGCACCCAGCAAAGCAAACAAGCCTAGATCTCTCAAAGTCATCATTTCAGGCCTCGATACTGTTCACCACAACCATTCCAGCCTCCGCTCAAACGGGTTAGTCATGCATCTGTATACGTATAGTCTACGGACCTCTGAATCTGTTGTTATTTTGGTTTGAATCGATTAGATTTAAGTATTCAAGCTTTCATTTCATCCGTCATATCAGTTCTGAACTTAGATCGGAATCGAGAAGTCGTTCGCATGTTTGTGTATGTTTTAGAAGTTTGTGTTTGGGATCGAATTCGGTTGGGGATTGAAAGTCGTAATTGCAAATTTTTTGTTGGGGCACTTCTATCCGAGTTCTACTGCCATAAGATCTGTGACCGCCTTTTTTCTTTTGCAGTTTTTATCTGGGCCTCCGTAGGCATATCTGGGCACCTCAGTTCATCTTGAAGCTGCAGAAACTTCCTGGTTTCTTCCCAGATTCCCAACAAAAAGGCGAAAGAGCTGCTTGGTAAGTGTCTTTAACTCTCCCTATTTACATACTTCGCTCATTTTTCTCCTCCTTTCGCTACTCCTGTCTTGTGAGTTAAATTATATTCAAGTCTAAAACGTGAGGACCGCCTATCCCTGTTTTGAGTAGTATATGTCCGGTCATGGTAGCAGTCATTGAATTTTGGTCGGTGGAGGGGATCTCTGAGAAACTTTTCCTCTTTTGCTCTCTCTATCCTCAGTTTACCCTCAATACGCATACTAACTTTTTGGCCTCTTTTTACTCCACTTTCCGTCTGGTTTGTTTCTTGCATTTGCTAAGGTTTCACGGGGCTTAGCTGGATAGATTACCCGACAGTTTGTTCCAGAGCTGATTAACTCCTTTTTTGTTCCTTCAACTGAATCAGTCTCTGATCTTACTTTCGTCCAACGATTTTGTTTTGATTTTGCTTCCACTTAATTGCAACTAACTATTCATCGCTTGTTGTGGAAATAAAAGGGCAAGTGTCTGAATCCGTTCCATACCTGTCAAGACTTGAGAATTTAGGGTTGTTAAACGGCTGCATATCTAATTATTTTCATTGGGAGAAAACATGTCAAAGTGCGCAACAATCTCTATTTTTAGAACTGACAACAACAATTAGAAATTTGATAGTCCTGTCAGTTTCCGAAGCGTTATCTGGCGATATACTTCTGCCAGCTTGGCGCTGGGGTTTGCTAATCAGACCCGACCAAACTAAGCTCATCTTTTCATCTGTATTCCTCATTGCTGCTGAAAATTCAATCTAATACTCCCAGCAAAACTATCCATAAAAAGCTTCCAAATCATGTAGCGTTTCTGGAGATCTATTGGTCTTACCACCCTTTTAAAATGCCATCCCATATCCAACAAAATTTGAGACAATTTTCCAAAAAGGAATAAACGACAATTATAAAGAAACGAGGTAGTAATTTAAAGAAACATGACCTAATTTCGCTGACCGGCCTCTTTTCCATTAAGTTAATTGACTCTATACAACAAAAGTTTAACGATCACATTATGCTAAAACATGCCGAATCCCTTGTGATTGCCTTTATACAAAACTTGCTGACTATTGTTTACTTCTGTCAAAATCCAAGCCCTCTAGTTTGGTGCCATGTCACCAAATATTATAGAATGCAGCAATGGTGAGGGATCAATGCCTTAACTTTCATCTGTCCTTCCTCTTTTCTTAGTCAACTTGCTGGCTGGGAAGTGTAGTCTAGCAACAAGTGGTCGAGGCGCTCGTGTCTTCCTGTCAAATCCCCTTAAGCACACGAACCCTAGCAAACACAGAGGTTACATTAAGCAACTGGAAAAGGAAGCGATATAACCGTTGCCAATAGGGATAGCATGCTAGAAACGCATTATACTTTCTAAGATGGACTATTTCTAAAGGAAATAGGTTGTGAAATTATGTATTTTGGTCTTCTAACACATTCATTGTCGTATGGTTCCATACTTTGTGGATTGTTTCCTTGATTGAGGGCATCATATTGATCCTGTTAATACACATTGGTCAATGAATGAGAATCACAGCTAGCAAGACCAGAATTTTCTTTACAAAATATGACATTTATCATGTCTGGTACTTTCTGGCCCAACCATAGATAGTTTTCTCTTGTCCGCCTTCTAGCAGCAAGGTTGGTTTTGCACGCCAAGCACTTCTTTCCTACGAGTCTAAACTACATTTTTGTTGAGCAGGTCTAAGAATTAAACTTTCCTTATTAAATAAGTACCTTAATGATGTATAAATAAGGACTAGTAGAATTTGAAGTCCAAAATCTGTCTGTCAATAGGAGTCGATACATATGAGAACTGTGTTTAAGAGGATAAAGTTACCTTTTAAGAAATGAAGCAAAGTGTTTAAATAAGATGCTATTATGTTGTTGAACCTCGCTTGAACTGCTCATTTCAGGATATGATAGCTAGTAGCAAGCCTCTAATTTCGGAAGAAACAAAGTTGTACTAAATTTTGCAAGTAATTTCCTTGTGCATGCTACGTAATGCTACAAAATTAGTTACCAAAATTCAAATGAAGCTGCTGAATTAACTGCAAAAAGTGTTTGATTTCTTTTTTTTTTTTTGTTACCTCTCCAGAAGCAGTATTGAATTTCCTCCTGTGACAGTCCTAATAAACAAGAAAACAAAAAATGTCATGTACTCCAGGAACTACCTTGGATGAAGTAGGAACTAGTTATTAACTAAAACGATGAATGAACTCTACTATTACTTACCTTTAAATATGGTAGGTATGGATGTTCCAAAGTAAACTGTTCGTCTACGCAAATTCCACAACCAATTTCTTGGCACATCAATTGGGTTAAGGCTAGATTCGTGGTCCGCAAACACCTGCAGTTAGTGAGTTCCTTTTGAGGCTTTTGTTCATAGAATCTATAAGATTTCACTGTTGCTGGACTTGTGTACCTCATTAACTTGGAAGTATGTGCCATTAAGCGGAAAGCTACCCCTCATAGCTGTTCGACATGGTATCTGTGCACAGGGGTCATCATAAATTAGGAATTACACTGTTATGAAGTAAGAGGCACAAAAAGGATGCGTCCTCACCAGTAGTGTGCCTCGAACAGTTTGGGAGTTTGCTTCACGTATGCTGTTGCACGAAAAGCATGTTTCCCGATCACATAGTTTGCCAGATTCTTGGAAGCTGCATGATCTTTCTGGTGGCTGAATAGAGTCTATAGTTTCACCTGATATTGAGAGGTTTTCCCATTTACACTTAAAAAACTATTGATGAGTAGACACACACACGGGTATAAGATTCATATATTCATTCCATAATATACATCAAAAAGTCATTGATCAGCATGTTTCAAGCCCTCTGCTAAGGGTTTCTGTTGTTTCACTTTCATCATGTTAGCTTACCTGGTGTCCATATGGCGAGAAGGTATGATGATGGATCATCTGGTTCTCGTTGGTCAAACTGGATTTTAATACAGTAAGATGGTTAGAAAGTTCAGTTGCACATGGTAGGCAGGAACTATATGTCAAATGAGAAGCAGATGTAACACTAACCCCTTTCAGCAGTGGATGCGCATCAGGAAGCTCGTAGCTGTTAAATTGGTAGATAGTTAGGCATCTAGCAGCTATTCATTATACTGTCATCTTTTAAGACAAGAAGTTGTGCTTTGTACATGTTTTGCAAGTCTATACATGTCTTTACTCTTTAGTTAATGAATTGCAGGTATATGTTTGTAGCTAAGCTTGAATGAACTTACACGTAATGCTCTGTCCTTAATCGGCTTATGTTCTTAAGTTTAGTCGTGGGGATTGAAGCAGCTTCTGGAGTTAAAACCACTAATGCCTTTGACATTTCACTCTCTGAAGTTAAAACAACATTCTTTTGAATGTAGTTCAACAGATTCTGATTCAACTCCTCAATATTGAGTTTAATGGTAGGAATCTCATCAGCATCTTCATCTTCATGGAATGCGTCCTCAATGTCAAGCTCTGGTATTTGTGTATGTTCTAGCTGTGGGCTTGCTGGCTGTTCGATGATAGGCTCTGGTGTTGCAGGCTCTTCAATGATGATAGGCTCTGGTGTTGCAGGCTCTTCAATGATAGGACCGCAGGTTCCAACTTGAGAACCAGATTCCAATTGTTGACTAGTTTGAGGTAGAGGCAGTTGCAGGTGATTTATGTTTTCTTCTGGATTTGTATTGGGATCTCTGTATTGTGCTGCAGTAATGATGCTTTTATCCTCTGGTGCTGGGAGGGCAAGCCTAGCACTGCATGTAACATATTTTATACGTATAATGAAACTACCATTTTTATGTGGGAATCTCTGGTTGTCTAAATCAATGTCTGCTGTTTTTCATTATTGCCTTTGAGCTTGTTTGTAGTTAAGATGGGTAAGTTAAAGAAAAACTTAAACCTAATAAAGACTAAAGCCAGAAGCTATCTCTGAGACACAAAGGCCAAATAACTTAAGAATTAAAGAGCAACCTCTAGGTAGATACTTGTTAACCAAAGGTACCTTACGAGTAAAATCTTCCAATAAGCTACTTTCTCAACTCACCTGCTTCAGATTTGAAAAAAAAAAAAAAAGGACCCTTCTGATTTTGCTATAGATAGCATTGTAAGTGATTCCTCTTTAGTTTTTACTACCAGTAACTTGAATAGAAGTTTCCATGTACATGAATGAAGGCAGAATAAAGGCCTTTGCCAAGAGGTTGAAAAGTGGAAAGGCATTTTATTAATTTTTGATGCCTTAACTACAACCTGGGAAATAAAGAGGTTGTAGTTGGTTAAATTGGATATACCTTGCAAAGGCACTTGCAAAATGCCTGCATTCTCCTCGCATGGGGCACGAATTGCAATTTGGTTTGCTTTTTGTGCAAAAAACCTGGGAAATAAAGGAGAAGTCTTCAGCTTTAATTTAAAAATGAGTTAGGGGAAAGAACGTCCTAATTGAATGGCATACCTTTCCAAATGTTATCATTTGATAATGCAGCTCATACCTACAATTTGTAAGCATCTTAAGTCAGCAAATCATAGGGACTCATTGCTATTTGATATAACTATGGAAGAAACAAAGTTTACAAGGTTCGTTGATCAAGCTTGCAGAGCCTTGGCCATAAAAACTTTTGGATTGACTCCAGCACAGGGTACCTGTACAACAGCAACAGTAACACTAATATCTGAGATGAAACAAGAATAGTTTATTAAGACTCCAAAACTCACAGTTCTAGAAGGTGCAACTGAAGTGACTCAGGAAGTGGCTGAAGTGGTACCCAGCCCAGTCTTACAGCAATACGTCCAACATTTGTATCCACCTAATTGAAGTAAATCCAACATGAGTTCTTCGAAGTAAATCCTTTCTGACCATTCTAAATATTTTGGTTCAAGTATTAATCTTACTGGGAAAGCAAGATGGTGAAGTGTCAAAAGCCTCACACATTCTACACTTTTTAGACCCAAACCCTTTACACTTAATAGGTAGTCTCTGCACAATAAATATGATACAAGGTTGTTAGGCTTACTGTCATTGCAAAACTTTTTATGCACTGGCATCAGAAGCCATTTGATACACTTACTTGACCCTATCTGGTGGGACATCCCGCAGCCATTCCAGATCAATGCTTCCATGATCTGTGACAAGCCTGTTTAGGAAGTCCTGCATGATTCGATATCATTAGCTGACAGTGATGATTAGTGGCTGAGAGACTAAAATCCACAATTATGCTAGAATTAGAACATATACTTGGATTCTCCGAGCTAACATATTGTTCATTCCCCTTTCTTTGATGGTCTCAGCGATGTCCTCAACTTCTGCACATCTCACCGCTTCCCAGTCCACTGAGTCCATTGTATTGGCTGTCCTCTCTCTCTTTTCACCATTAGAGAGTGCCTGTATTCTTAAACTATCCCAATCAATGGCATCCTTTTTCTCTTTTCCATTTCTTCCCCTTTTGGCATTGGATATACTAGGGCTCACCTCATCAATTTTCTCCACAATTGTATTGCAGTCATTCAGATTCAAATGAACAGCCTTCTGATTTCTAGTTATTTGGGTTTTTCCTGAGACATCCAAAATACATTCTGAAGAACTTAGAGGATTTGAAACTTGCCCAACTCTGCAGTTATTCTCTTGCTTTTGAACTTCTGACACAAGTTCAGTCTCTTGATCTTCAATTGGCCTTTGATGGTTGTTAGGAGAGTTGGAGTCAGAATTTTCAATTGAAAACTTCTGTAATTCTTCGAAACTAATAGCAATTGTATTCTGACATGGAACTCCTGCTGAAGATTCTGCTGACCCAATTTGTTCGGTTACAAAAAGCTCATTTTCTTTGTAGGCATCACAGAATCTGTTATCTTCTGACAGATCAAAGTTCCTGAGCTCTCCAAATCCTGAATTCACGCCTATGTGCAGGCTCAAATTAGTATGCAGATGGATATCTTTTAAACAATTTATGATAATTGATTTCTTACTGCAAGAGTTACAGGCCATACCTTCTGATTTGGTTGGCATGCCGAGACTTGATGACCTCTTTCTGCTTCCTTCATTATAAACTCCATGCAACATTGTTGTTCCTGCCATCTGTAACAGTTTTACAAAAGAGCCACAAGTACCATCAGCTGGTTCAGCTTCGGAGGAACTTTGTGAGTATGACTCAGCCTTGTTTATAGTCTCCACAGAGCTGTGAGAGGAAATTACAGAATTCTGAGAAGAAATTACATCAAGTTCTCTGCTATCTCCATTAAAGCTTGCCAGTCTTTGATCATCCTGAGATTTTAAGCTGCTAATGTCTGGTTCATTATACAGTTTTGGACTACATTCTGAAGAATCTGAAGAGATGGATCTTAAAATTTTTGTTGCTTTGGTGGTGCCTTCAGATGTATCTCCAGAGGAATCCCTGGTAATGGTTACTTCTTCATTGCACTCCTTGTCACATAGAGTGACGGAATCCTGGAGGCAAGCAAGTTGACTTGAAACCTTTTTGTGCCATTTAATTGTATCATCTGGATCTATTATTACTTGTCCCTCAGTTGTCTGTTGTTCACATGGTTGTGTATGATAGTGATTGCTCTTCGATTTGAGGGGGAATCTAGCAGCCATTGAGATGAAGGCAGAACTGCAGCAATGAACACAAACTAAAGTTGTTTTTGCAGGCACTCAAGCTACTACGATCTTTTGTGAGGAGGGTGGAAATTTAGAAATCAACTCACCTAGAAAGGTGATCAGACACATTCTGTGTAAGGAAGACTCCAACTACAGAGTCTACTACCGATCCCTTCCATGGGGTGAAGCGTCTGTCTCCTGTGGAAGAAAAAAATAACACACTCCTATTACATATTTGAGATGGCAAACACATTTTTTCTGCCTGAATCATGTAACCGTGTAGGAAGAGGATACTTTTTTGGAGTATCCGACACCAACTTTTGCTATGTGAGATGCATTGCACTTCAACCTTTCATGGAAGGTTCACATACACTGTTCCATCTGCCCAGAGTTTCCTTCAGTCAGTTATTTCTCCAACATATTTACAGTCATGCCATTCCATTAAACTATTAGAAATTTTTAGGCAGTCGATTTGGTATTTTCTGAAATGCTTGACTTTCTTGTGTCCATCATTTACGGTTAAAAGATTTCTTAATTTCTTTTGCCAAAATGATATTCTTGAAAAGCAGAAATAGAATGAAAATGTTTCATACCAAGAAAGCAATTTACTAATTGATTTCTCTTTTTGGTTGGCGAGCACTGATTTTTGTTCTTCTATATACAGGTATAATGTAAATTGTAATAGACTTCTTTGCTGTGTTCTGTCATGTAAATTTGAGCTATATGACACGCAATCGCCAGAATCTTTTGGCTTCTTGCTCCAGAGCACGTGCTACAAGGTTCGAGTTCCATATTTAAGGAGGATGTACCAACAAGTCCTGAGTTACATGCTATCTTCTTTTAAGATACTATCTTCTTTTAAGACAGCACTGAGATTTTCTTAGTCCCATGTAGATCAACTTCTTAATAACGTCTATGCACATTAAGAGATGTATACTACTGCAAAATTAAATTATGAGCCTACATACCCTGGACTAGATGCATCCTGGCAATAAATGAGTTTGCTCTTCCACGGAATACTGCCCGTTCACCTGCCCACCATTGTGCCTT